AGCTAATCATTACTTTTATTAATTATATTCTAATTTAATTATTGAGCTCTATCTAAACAGGATTGAAATATTATTTACTAAATATCTACTATGAAAAACATTGTTATACTTGATTGATAATTTTCAAAGAACGTAATTTCTGAATTGAAGTTAATTTACAATAACAGGGTAGAACCAGAATGTTGGTTGAATGACGCGTTTAAGAAATTTCAGGAAAATGGAGGTCCGGGTTATAAGACTATTAGAAGGTGGGAGTAAAAAGCCAAGCAACTCCCATATTAAATCATGGCAAGACTACTTCATAAAGCCAGTTACATGTCGAACGTTGAAAGGATATCATAAATCCTAAATAAATCCTACACGCTTATTATTTATTAATTCTTATTGTACGACTTTGACTTAATCATCATTGTGCACATTTCACCGTGAATATTTCGATTGAAAAATTTGCAAAAAGAAAAAAATATCAATTTCAATTTAAGATTTTTCTAAGTACGGTTTTGCTTAAATTACATTTTCATAAAAATGAAATTATTTGGAAAATATTTCTTCTTGCGCTTTTTCATATTGACATTATTAATATCCATTACAAAAGGATATCTTACTACCGATACTGAAACGGTAAGTATTTTTAAAAGTCTATTTAACATCAAAAAAATTAATTTACTTTTAAATAATTATTTATAATATTTCTGATCTTTTTATAGGCAATAAAAAACATGAGACAAATTCCTCAATGGCATTGTCTACGTATTAGAAAATTTAATCTTTTACGTCGTTGCCGAAATTATCGTCTAGGAAGAAAACATTGAACTGTTTCATAATTAAATATTATTTATACCTGTACACTAGTAATCTAAGAATTAGTATTTTTTATATTGTGAAAAAATTGTAATGTAATACGATCTTGACGAAATCTCAACGCTATTTTTAAATATATGAATAAACAAATAAAAAAGAAATAAAAAAAATAATTTCTTACCTCATCTATTTTATCTTTTCCTGAAATACGATAAGATTCCTGTATGAGAGAATTATTTTCTTCCTTACTTGATACAGTCTGAGATGCTATAAAATTCGTGAAAGGAGTTAAAGCTGTTTGACTTCTTGAAAAGAAGTCTAAAGCGCCTCCTATTTCGGATTCTGATTCCAAACACAAAAGTTCCTAAAGATAATAAAAATAAAAGTTGATTATTAAAATATACATAATAATATTTAATGTCACTGTAGCATGAGAAAACATACTTGATTCGAATCTATAAAATATAATTGCGATTTCTTCTGCCACAGCATGTTAGAAGAATCCTTAGTATCTTGCAAACGTGGTACGAAAACAGCTCCTAATATTGAACTGTCGTTTTCGATAATAGATTTTTTAACATATACTGGAGTTGAATTTTGTGGATTAAAAACGTACACTAAAAAAATATAAATAATAAAATATTAAATAATATAATAAATCTGAATGACAGAAAATATTTATGATACTTACATGTATTTTCCGTAGTGAAAGCAGCCATATAAATGGATTTAGGATCGGCTGTAAGTTTAGTTACATTTAAAGCAACACTCCATATAATATTTAGAGATAAAATATTCCAGACAGCAATATGTTTGTCTGAAGCAACGACGATCAAATTACAAGCTTCTTGTTTTCCAAATTCGATGCGCCTAATTAGAAACACAACATAAAGTTACATTTCTTGTATATTATTTGATAATATTTCAATGATGTAATATAACTTACTTTATGATATGTGGGTATTGACTATGCGTAAGACTACTCCTTAAAGTACACGAATCAGGCTCCCAAATAGTTAATGACGAACCAAAACCGATTCCTAATAAAGAACCATCTATTGAAAATGCAGCATCTGTAGCTAGTAATTCATGGTAATTTCCTACGCCATAACACTGCCAATGTTTCGTTTTTTCTAAAATACAAAAAAAAATTATGTTTACTTTACAAGAATAATATTTAATATTATAAAAATATATAATCCTATTTTATAAAATATTTCTTACTATAGATCGATGTTGGCTCTACAAGATTCCATAACTTAAATTTCTTATCTTTTCCAGTAGTTACAACTAAAGGATCTTCGTCATCGAATAATGAATGTGTTTGGAATTGTAAAGCATTAATTCCTAATTCGTGTGGAAGCTCGACTGATGAATTTAATGTAAAACTGTTAGAAATTCAATTAATAATGATTACACATTTAAATGTATTTAATTAATATAAAGTTTTAATAATTATACACATACATATTATTTAACTTACATTTGTTGATTCGAGTCAAATGACCAAAATTTTAATCTCACTTCAGGAGCTGAAACTTCATCATCTCGTTCTTCCACTGTGGCCATCCACGTACCATCATGATTCAATGCTACTTTTGTTACATCAGTGTTTAAAATATTTACACTTCGTTCTTGAGTAATAAAATTTTCAGCTGTTATATGAATCTATAAATGAAATACATGAAAGATAATATCAATTAAATAAATATATTAATAAACTTACAAGTACGTACTTAAATATACATTATTTATAAAATATACTTACATTATATAATAAACTTTTTGTATATGTATTATAAAACTGAACATGTCCAGTACGACTATTTAAAACAAGACTATTTGTACGTGGATCTACAACGAGCCCAGCAGGGAATAAATCTTTACAGGATAATGCAATACCCCATGTCAGATTTTGTATTACAGATATTAAATCTCTTTGCGGATTTATAACACTAACACCTATATAAATAATATTAATATATCGATAAGATAATTATGTATTTATTCATAAAAATATTCAATTAAACATATATTACCATTATCTAAGGTGGATATAGCAACATAAATATTATTTGATGCGATAGTTAAATATTTAATTGGTGCTGGTAAACGAGGTAAAAATAATTTTTCTAACGGAGTTGCAATAGTCCATTTTACTAACACACATTCTCCACCACCGGTGTACATATGAGTACCTGTAATATATTTTTATATGAGATGAATTAGTTTTTAAATAAATATTTTATTATGAATATTTAAACAATTAACCTGTTTTACTAAAAACTATTTCAGTCACAGGTAATGTATGCCAATGATATATTGCTGTATATGGCCTAGATTGATATAAATTTCTCCATAATACTACACGCCCAGTAGAATCTCCAGTAGCCACACATTCTTCTTCAGGATGTCCAGCGATGCATGTTGGTATTCTACCAGTTTTCCCTGTTTTATGTCTAAAAGAAAAAAGAAATATATATATAATTTATACGAATAAAAAAGAACTTAATTAAAATTAAGTCCATGCGAAAGAAAAATGTATTAATCACTTATTTATGATGTTTGTTTATAGAGAAAAAGAGAGAGACAGAGAGAGACTGCTCTCAGTCAAAAAGTTAAATATAAAATAAGTTATACTCACAATTTATCAACTAAATTACGAGCAGGATTTAATATGTGTAAATCTGTATCGTGAAGAACTGCTACTAAATTATTCCCATTATTTCCTATTACATCAACATAATATTCAGGATTTTTAGTCCTGAAAGAAGATAAAATATAAATTACTTTTTTTCTATTAATCTTAAACTAATTATTAATTTAAGAAGATGTCATTTATTTACGAAATAGAGTGACGTTTAGAATAGTTTCCATTTTTTAAGTCGAATAACACCAAGCATATATTGCTGTTATCTTGCGAGATATAAGTTATGAGAACTTGTGATGTATCTACATCGATTGCATTTTTATATTTAACGATATGAAAAGTTTTCACTTTGGGATGCTCTGCCGACGCAAAATTTAAGTTCTGTAAAAAGTTATTCAATATACATTAGAATCTTCGATGCGTTGTTAAATTAAAAGTCAGATTTGCAAATTTTAATTTAAAATAATACATACTAATTTTTTTGTAATGATGCCACTTTGACAACTCCAAAAGTTAAGCTGCCCATTATCCGTACAACCTATAATTGTATTTAAAAAATCTGGATGTGAGACAATTCCATTTATTCTACGATCAATACCCTCAAATTCTTGAACAAAATCTCCAGTTAATGTACTGTATGCTCGTATAGTATGCTTCCATATAACATATAATGCTCTGTAAAATCAAGAATATTTAGTTAATTTTATACAGAATATTTGTTTATTTAAAATAATAATAATTATTATAATATTATATATGTATATAATACATAACCTGTACTTACTCTCCATCTTCCGAAAATAATGGACGATGATCGATTATAGATCCACCACCTTTTCTCGTAACAATTAAATTATCTACATCTAACTTATTATTACTTATTAATTTCATCTGCATTTTTACTTAATTTTTAGTAAATTAAATATAGGCATGGAGGCTATAGGATATAGCCGTGATATAGGAATAGATAGCAATAATGAAGATGTAAGCCTTATGATTGGATGATATAAATTTGTTTTGATTGGTTGAATTAGTATTGATCTAACCAATCATATTTTTATGTACGAAATTCAAAGTTATATTTAACCCTTATGATCATTTCTTTTAATAATAAAATTATAATTTTTCTAATTAATAAAAATTCGTATCATTTAGCAGATTCACATTAACAAATAAATTAAATGATATATTATATATAATACCAAATATCTCATATATCTAGAAGATAAAAGTATATATATATATAGAATATATATTGTATATATATTCCATAATAATTTCTAAACAGTACGTTATAAATATAAAAATAATTATTTTACACTATACAATATACATATACATTATTTAACATAAATATTACAATTGTTAATGATAAATTTTTTATATCCAATAAATCTATCAACAATTTATCCTAAATACGATTAAATGTCACTATTAAATCTGAAATGATACTAGAAAATAAATTTAATGACAAATTTACAAATGTTCTTAAACAATTTTAAATTAAAATTTATTATCTTTGATTGAATCTTTTTCTTTTGCTTTTTTTCTTTTAATGAAAATCAATAGATCTGAGATTGCAATATGGCTTTCGATAACAGTGTAGAAAATGTTGCATTAACTTTTTGACACAATGCATCCGCAGATTTGTCACCTAGAGCGGCTTGAGCAGAATTAACTCTACCTAATTGTAAGAGCAATATTGTAGTATCCTCAGCGAGTGGTGGAAATGCAAGACATATTCTTGTCAATGATGGTAATACTGGCATAAACAGAGATACTCGATCTTTAGCAGGTAATACTCCTAACAAAGTTATTAGAGTATTTATTGCTAATCTAGAAACGCTTAACGCTTTTGGAAGTGCATATTGAATAGCTAAATGTGATGCCAAATCAACAGCGAATACTTGTTTCTCTGGTTCTGGTTGAGACAATAATTCAGGAATCCAATCGAGACAAATATGCATTGATGGGATTCCAGAAACAGTAATTGGTAATAACTCTCTTGGATATCCCTATAAAAAAAATGTGTTTATTTAATTTTAATGTATTAAAAATATTTGTTTAGATTGCTAAGACGCACCTGAAAATGGACTAATTTGGCCAAAGAAGGATCGGCTATAAATATTTGATGTAGGTACGAACAAATAACACTTCGTATTTCTCTCAAAGACCACATCTGTCCAGGAATTTGTCTATCTTGTTTAGTTTCCAAACATGCTTCTAATAAAATTTGTACAGCAGCGCTTTCTTGACCTGCTATTAAAGCTGTCTTCAAATCTTCTCTTTCTGTTTCACTTGACAATTGACCAACTTTCTCTGTTAAAGGTCTATCTTGCGTATGTCTGGATAGTTGAGATCTCGATGCAGCCAATACTGCTTGTAAAATCCTAGAATAATAATTAAATATTCATTAAAATATCATTCAATCAATTTTAATGTTTAATAATGTTTACAATTTACCTTAAAATTACTGATAAGACAGGTGCGCATCTAAAAACTCTTGTATCACAACGTAATACTTGTAATGGATCTAATACAATATTTTCTTGCGTAAGAAATATATTCTTAACTACCATGTTTTCAACTAATAGTGTATTTATAGATAAAACCCATAAACATCTTGGTAAAACGGTATTCAATCTTAGCCATACTTGTTTATAAAGTTCTGCAAAAATAATTATATTTTTGATTATTAACATGTTATTAAATTTTTAACGATTAAAGAAATACACATACAAATGTGATTTTTACCTTGTATATATCTTGGAACCCTGTCGTCGAGTATAGCTTTAAAATAATGTATTATTATTTCCGTATGCGGCCAAATATCTGTTGGCTTCATAGCCATTAATTGTCGCAACAATCTTCCTGTTCTTGATGGACATTTATTAATATGACTGAATGCTTCAACAATAGAAATATCAGTAATTTTTGTACTTTCATAATTTACAGTAGGAGAATCTATGTTAATCATCTCATCATCAAGCCAATCATCTACCAAAGACAGGTGTGGAAAGTGAGTTGCTAGTAGTCTAAGAAGAGGTGAGAATAAACCAGCATAATTCACTTGATCTCTTTGTACCTGCTGAAGTAGATACTTTATCGGTAGTTCAGATAAAAATTCGGTAGAGTATGACTTCACTTTTCTACCTTGTGATATAAATATATGCATATTGGATAATCTAACATCTTCATAAAGTAACAAATAATATAACAATAACAATTGAGATGTTAGCGAAGGTTTTAACGTGTCAATGTCCATATTATTCATTTCTCCTTCGACAATATCCATTAGATTCTTTTTAAAATCGAAATTAGCACCGAATACGCTATTTTGAAATATTTTTCTTATTTCGTCTTCAGTAATTGGCTTATTTGTATGCTCAGACGTTTTGTTATTTGTTACTAAAATAGAATTAACATAGACTTCGACTAAAGCTGGTAAAACCGGATGTAGAGGTGGTACGCTGTCGCACATCTGTCGATAAATCCAATTTTTGATGGGTACTCTGTGCTTTGCAAATGCTCTTGATTTTAATAATTGATGTATACAGTGTACAGGTAAAAATCCAGGAATAGTTGCATTTAAATTAGCGGTTACTGGTACTTTGACGGCATGAGAAGTTACTACTTGTTCTGTAAAAATTTCTTGGGTAAAAATTTGTTTCATTCTTGTTAGATTGTTCGGTCTAATAGGTATTTTCATGCCCAATGTCGCACAAACCAATTCACAAATAGCCGACAATTGATTGCTGTGGAAATGAATTGCCATTAAAAGAAGCATCTCTCCAAAACTAGCAGTCACACCACTAGCACTTTCAAAATAAGCTTCTTCTCGAACTAGCCACTGTACCCATTCGATACTACGCTTTTCAAGACTATGATGCCCAATTAAAGAAGGACAAGCTATAAGCATACAAAGTCCTAGAGATACGAATCTTACTCCAGCTGGTGATGGTGGAGGATGGGACGTTAAAAGTTGAACTATCATTGAAACTTCGTCATCTTGAAATTTAATACCTCCTATACCTCTCAAAGCACAATAAAGTCTTAATAATGCGCTTGCTTGAACAACTTGCGACTCATCCAATTGGCTATCTGTACTATGTAAAGCTATAGCTTGTAATCTTCTGAGTAGTTCTTCTCTCAATAGTTGCAATGCCGTATGAGACTCCCATTTTCTTTTTTGTCCATTTCTTATAAACATTGCTATCCATGTTCTAACTTGCTGGTCACTGCCAAGTAATAAGCCTGATATAAATGCAACAATATCGCTTTCTGGTTGTAAAACATTAGCATGCTCATGTTCTAAACTTAAAGTAATTGCTAGTGCTGGCATTCTACAAAATTCTACACACTTTGCTCTTATAGCAAATGCTTGACTTGGATTCATTTCGCATAACATTGTAAGCGTCGACGTTCTAATTCTTCCCAATGCTGATTCCTCTTGGCGTTCTCCATTAGCTATCAAATGTCCACAGACTTCGGAAAAACTATCAGGATTATTAGCTACGATCCAACAAATAATATGTGGACCATGCTTCACATGTAAAAGGGTCTCTGTTATATCCAATATCGACAAAAGTGTTGGCAATTCGGCTAGTGCGATACATATGACATAACTAATTTCTTCCATATATACAGCATTGTCGAATAAGTCAGATTGCTTTATCTGAAAGTCTTGATTCTTCCTAAATTCTTGTATTTGCGACATTATGAATAAAATTTCGCTTAATACCAAACGTATTCTGCGCGTAGACTCACTCCTCTCAAATTCCAATGCAAGGCCGCTCTGCAATGATTGCGCCAATACACTGTCCGCTTGCATGCTTCCCAATTTTTGTCTTTAAAAACACATAGCATAAATTAATTTATTATAATATTAGGTCCAATAAGTTCATCCAGTTTTTTTTCTAAGTAAATAAACATTAAAAAATGCATGGACTTATTGGACAATCTAATATGTCACATATATAGTTAAAATACTGTTAATTCAATTATTACAAAATATTATATAATTAAAATACTCGCATAACAATTCAATATTTAATTAACAAAATATATAAAATATATATAAATTAGAAACCAATCCTAACCTTAATTGTTGTTCTTTGCGTACGTCAGTTTCTAATGCATGAAAATCGATTGAAAGTAACGCAATAATAGAATTAACCGATTCAATACCAGATAATATTGATAAAACTTCTTTTCTAGCTTCGACGCATTCTTTTGTTATATCTAAAGGAGTAATAAGACTCATTCTAACCAAACATGGTAAAATCGGACGAATTTCCTTATGCGAACATTTTGATAATTCTTTGATATTGACATTTTGTATCGCTGTAAACACATGAGGAGAGACGCGTGCATTAACGTGCATCGGATATAATTGATTTCTTCCAAATTCTAATGACATTTTTTAGGAATAAACAATTTAACTCTTTTATCTTCTATGAAACTTCACTACCTTTAAATATACGTGCAAGTATACTAATAAAGCAGAAAAAAAATGTTTCAACGAGAGCGCTATCTGGTAAAATACAAGGGAAGTTAATATAAAATATTAACGAATCAAATTGTTTCGCGGTAAACCTTTGAAAATTCAAATATGAATAAACTATTAGCTTCTGTCCTATATGTTTAAAATTAAAAAATATATTAAATATATGCATAATAACAATTATTATTTGTTTGAACTTTTGTTCTTATTCTTTTTAAATATTTGTTTCTTGTGTTAAATAAAAATTTCTTGCATTATTCATTATCCTTCTTAATACATTTTGTAGAAAGGATTATCTGGATATAAAAGAAACAATATGTTTTATTCAAAACTGTCACGATAACGCTTTTTTATTGAATTACTTTGAAATTAAAATATTTTCCTCTGTTTACATTAGTATCATTTATGTTTAATTTTCCTAGCTAAGAACAACAACAGCAGACTATGGTTGAGAATCACAATAAACAATAATAATAATCATTCTTTTTAATAGATCTTACAAAAATTTTAAAGCATACGTCCAATATTGCAATGAATTAATTCAACATTTATGGCACAAATACAAATTCTATATTAATGTATAATAATTTTAGAAAAAAACATTTTATGAATTTGTTTACTTCACCACTTTGGAAGATATTCTTATTTGATCTGCCATTATTATCCATAATAGAGAATTGAAGTGTAAATATCAATTCTTTACAATAAAAGTTAGAGATTTATTTAAATAATTATATCATTGTTACCTAGCATCGAACTTACAATTGTTTTTTTTAATATAATACAGTTTAGAAATTCCTTCAAATATATATATTTATATTTATTTATTTATTCATTTATCAAATTAGAAAATCACAACGTTAAAATAGAGATTTGTATAATTAATATAATATATAATTGTACTTAAAGTTCGAAACGAGATAATATTCTAACATTTAGAAGACGTCATAAATTGGTATTTCGGCAGGATTTTCTGCTGAGTCTTAATATCTCTAAATGTGAATTTAAAAACAAAAAATAAGAAAAAAAAATAAAAAGAAGTATAAGAACTATTTTTTTTCTTTACCTTTAAACTTCCGTTCAAAGATAAGAATATATTTTTATGAACACTTATATAACGAATCGAACACCATTAAAATTCTCTTCAATGGAAGAAAATATATTTACTTTGTCACTTTAATTAGCAAAACTAAAAGAATACCTTCATTTCCTCTTTCACTTTTTATATTACATCTTTGATCCTCGCATAGTAGGGATAATAGTTATTAGTAGTATGAAACTGCATATATTTTACATGTATATAAGGAAAAAAAATTCATTTCTTTTTTCCCATATATTTTTGTTAGTCTTGCCTTCTATTCCCAAGATTATCCCGGCCCCCACAATCCAACAAAATTATATTCACCAGCATAGAACTCTCATATAGAGTTGCCATTTTTTAAACAATTTTACCATTTACAATAAATTCCTATTTATCATTCTATATTATTTCTCTTTCTTTTTCTTCACCTTTTTTTTGTTATTTATCTTCTTTTTGTTACATTTTCATTTTTTGTTTTATATATATATTATTATTATTATTATTATTATTATCATTATATATATTATATAAATAATTATATAATTATATAATATATATATAATAATATATTATAACATAATATATTATATATATTAATTATATAATATACATTCTACTAGATTCCACTAATACCTTTATAAGTTTATTGTTTTTTTGCACTTAACACAACCCCAGCTTGTTTAACTTATTTTCTCTCTATTTCTTTTGCACTTTTAAATCTAACAAAAGTTGAAAATTTTTGTCAGATGATTAGCAGATTTGAGAGGAGATGATCCCACGTGTAAAGTTGTAAAAGATAATTTAAGTATCTAGATTTTAAGTAGCCTTCATTTGCCCATACCGACAAGAGCTTCATCCATAAGCTCATCGTCTGTAATGCAAGGTGAAGCGGAGTGTGGGGACGGCGGTATAATTCTGGGCGATGGTGCAGGACTTTTAACAATGTGTACGCTCAAAGACGGACTTGGTGGAAATGTTGGTGGAGGTGGTGGTGGTGTATCCCTTCTTATCGGAGCCGCTTGAGTCATAGCTCTTTCTGATATAGACGTAATGCTTAAATTCTTGTTTGTATCTTTTGGGCTGGAAAAATCTAATAACATTTCGGCAGCCTCTTGCGAATTGGAAGTAACCAATTCTGTTGTGTTCCTTACTGGAACAATAGTCGATCCTACATCGCTATTGACCATACCGCCGATCGTTGTTGAACTTGTTGAAACGACCGACGGTGATAATTGTTGCTGCTGCTGTTGTTGTTGTTGTTGCTGTATCTGCTGCTGTTGTTGTTGCTGTTGCTGCTGTGATGATGGTTGTTGTTGCTGCTGCTGCTGTTTTTTATCCTCGACAGATTTGTTATATTTACCTAGCACAGTCTCGGCCGGTTTCGTACTCAGATTCAGGCTCTCGGTGTTGCTGTTAGTGCAACTGGCAGCATTTGAACCATTTCCAGTAGTATTGGAAGACCCGCCTGCCAATGGCGGATACATCGATTTTGATATACACAGGGATTCCGAACCTTTAGGAAGAAGGGCCATGACGGCATTGCTGTTATTAATATCATCCTTACTACTGCCAGAACCGCTCAACGTGTTACTTAAAAATTGCGCGGCAGGTCTACCTACCGATGTTTCCTGACAAGTGTCTCGAGAATCGTCAACGGATTGCATCGAAAGGTTGGTCGGAACATTAGAATCATGGGAACTGACCGCAGCTGGTGGTTGTAGCAGAAGACCACTTGTACTATCGGATCCAACGTTAATCGGCACTGTCGTTGATGTCGGCATTGTAAGATTGTCGGGTTTCGTCTGTACGTGATCACGTCGGTTTTGTGTACCCTGCGTCTGATCGTCTGTATTACTTTTCGCAATCGACGATACGGGATTGGAAATGTTTTGAAGCTTAACTTGATCTGCCATTTGTTTAGCGGCGAGATTATCCAACGATTTTCCAGATTCTGATAATTTTTTCTCGCTGTTATCAACGTTAACCCGCGCAGACAACTTTGGTATTTGAAACTTGGTGTCAAGTTGCTTCATCAGACCATCGACGACAAGCTGTGGTGATAAACTTGGTAGACTGGAAGTAAGAGAAGCATGTGCAGCGAGTAGCTTGAAAGCTCTTTCGCTTTCATTTTCTTCGCGAATACCGGAAGGACTGGACTTCCTCGAATCCGTCATACTTTTAGATCCAAATATATTTTTTTCTGTCGATTTTGGCATCCTCAATTTGTCGCGATTACGACTTAGATCGGTTGCACTTGAGCTTGTTGTTTTAGGTGATCCTAAAGATTTTGAAGTTGAGGTCCCTTTACCCAGCAATCCACTGCTACTACTACTAACACCACCTACAACTCCCCCCGCATTACCACTGCTAGTATTTCCTCCAGACATTGACTTCAATGCTGACAAATTGACTTTTTGACCTAACAAGCCAGTTCTATTTCCACTAGTGCTACTACAACTAGATGAACCAGGTAATTTAGGTGATGTATGAGATTGTGGCTTCTTTGATGCAGGTCCAGAATTTACACCAGGTTTTAAACCTGTATGAGCTTTAGATGATCCATTTCCTACTACTGAACCAGATGATACTGTTGTAGAAGGTACTCCAGTAACTGACGTAACAGCGGTCGATGAAAGTTTTATACTCGTCCCTGACTTTGAATCTTTTGTACGTGTTTTATTGATTGTTATCTTCATGCCATCTGAACTATGTTTCACCATATATTCTGCAGGATTTTTTGCGTCGATTGATGAATTCTTGATAACACATTTCCCCTCAACGTTTTTAGTCGATGAACTACTAACGCTCCTTTCCTTTTGACTACTCGTACTACAGCTACCTCCTCCACTGCTCGTCTTCTGTCCGCCGTTTCCTCCTTCATCAGTACAATGTTGAGCATTTTTTAATTTATCTATAACTGCGCTAAGAGAACCCTTCCTATTTCTTGCCTGTTGTTGTGCAATGGTCGACTTGGAAATATCAGAGCTACTAGAGGGCGGTGTGTTACCACCACTGTTAGATGCAGTCGATTGAATCTCGGTACCAGGTATTATATCCAATTGTTTGACTTTAGTAGTAGAAGATTTAGTCTTTGGACTTTGATGACCACTCGTACTCCCAAACGTTAACGACGTTTTCCTTTCCTTATCACGACTAGAATCCTTGCTGGAGGATGACGAGGAAGACTTGATTTTGGATGATATAGAATCACTAGTTTTGCTGGAAGGAGAATTTGTTGCTGACTTCAGGGCGGACATACTTGGCTTTCCTGTACTCGTCGAACTACCATGTTTCGGTGAGGACGTTCCATGCTTTGGACTAACGCTGGCAGGTACTGACATATGTTTAGGACTACTGCTATAAACAGGTGAATGTTTTGGACTTTGTACAGGTTTGCTGGTTGATTGCTTTAACGTGGGACTTGATTTACCAACAAGGACAAGCGGACTACTGTGTGTCGGGGATGGACTGAATTTTCTTATTGTAGCTGAAGGAGATGATGGTCGTGAGCTTACACTTGGAGGGGATTCAGTGGGTTTGATGCTTACGGAGACAGGTTTGGATAAAGGATCTTGTTTGCATGGTAATTTATCTGGTGGTCCCATAGGATTATCTTCCCTTTTACGTTTACGTCTTTTCTCTAATTTTCCCTTATCTTCTGTTGATTTACTTTTTGAACTTTTTCTTTCTCTACGCTCTTCCGTCATAGACTTAGTTGTTGTTGGTCCTGCTATTGGAGTTATTGTTATAGAACTTGGTAAACTGGCTTGTGGCGATGATGTTATAGGTATAATCTCGATTCCAGGTCTCCTTTCTAAGCCCATGCCCGTAAGTACAGAATTATAATTTGTTGTTTGACCAACTGTACTATTTGAAATTGGTGTTATACTTACTGATGGGGGCACGAGATTTTTATTCTCTTCAAATATATTAGGACTCTTTTTCTCTTCTCTTTTTTTAGACTTACGCTCTCTTTTGATAATATCATCCACACCCTGTACTTCGTGTACTTCGACTATTTCACTTTCATTATCCAAATCGTAATCAGAACTTTTGTCGGTACTTAAAACATCGCCCTGGTCGAGGTTAGTAAAATCAATACCACTGGTTAAACTAGTAGCTGAAGTTGGAGTAGACGTTCTAGTTTCGTTTGTGTTATCCCTTCCACTGGTTGGAGTACCAAGCGGCGTAGAATCAGAGCTTGAACTTTCTAATAATATTTCATTAGTATTATCTTCACCTTTCCTTTTAGGACTGCGCCAAAATCCTTCTGCTACTTTCCTTTTGCGTGTCTTTTTGGTCTTTTCACTCGAAGAGGATGTATTTGTTAATGAATTTTTCGCTTGGCCCAGTAATGCGCTCAGTTGTAGAGGATTTAGCATAGCAGCAGTTGCTGTATCGGATTGGCCGGAATATGACGGAAACCCGATACTATTCTCCGTTCCGGCATCTAAAAAAGACTGCTGTTGTGGTTGTTGTAAAGTTTGCTGTCGTCCAATAGTTCCATTTCCATTACTTAAGTCAGATTCTTGCCTGATTTTTGTGTCTGCGTTAGTGAAGTCAGGCATATTAGAACCAGCCTGACCATTCTGATCTTTTCCAGGCCCTATATTTGTGTTGTAATTTCCATTTCCACCACTCATAGTATTAACTGGTAGTGCGCTTCGACCTTCCCAAGTCTTCATAAGTGTTCTCATTGTCAATGGTATACTGAGACATTTTTGTAATACTTTACCAGTTAAATCTGAAATTTGTTCTGCATTCATCATGCTTACACCGTAGAGTTTGCATTTCAATGCAGATATATCCGCTAGATTTAATTCTGCTGTTGCCATTGTTTCTTCAAATGGATGTTCCAGGCTTATAGATATTTGTTGCCATGAAAAAGCGCTTACCTCAAATATTATCGTATGTTCTGGATCTATACGTGCCATAGGCCTTACGCAACTTGAAATTAAAGAATTGAAGAGAGCTTGTTGGCGCAGATATACAAGAATTTGTGGAACATGTGCTGGATGTGTGAAAGGAATACTGCCTATTAAAACTCCTTCCATATGCTTATTTTCCGTCATGAAATAACAATGATGTTGATCCGGCAAAGTCTGTAAAGATATTTCACATGTGAATACTAATACTTTATTTTATTTATCTATTAAAATATAATATTTTGTTTGAATATATACTTACAACAAAAAGTCCTCTATTATTTCGACCATCTAAAGATCCATCACTAGCATGTTGTACTATTAAACTTAACAAGGAATGAGGCGAGGATACATCAGCACATTCTAATTCTGTTACTTTTTGTATCCGTTTTACTAATTCCATACACATTGGCATTTTCTTAGTGAGTTTTAATACAAAACAGGCAGGTAACATTGATGAATTTGTTCCAGTCAAGGGAGCATATGATGGAGTGCTAGAAAATTATTATAAGTATAAATTAACATTCATTTCTCTATTTTAATTGTATTACCTTTTTAACATAAGAACAGATTAATTACCTTTTTCCTGTATTACTTCTATTTACAGTTATAATACTAGTAGTAGGCAGCTTGTGAGCAGTTGAACCTTCCATACAAACGGTAACAGAATGACCAATTTTTCTTTTAATAACAGTTTCGGGATTTAAAACATCGCAAGTACGATTTTCTTGATCTATTAAATCATAGGGTGATACAAAATATGTTAATTTCATAGGATGTCCTCCTTTTCGTCTTTCTAAAATTCCTAGAAAATAATAAGATAGTAAGTAGAATAAAGAAATCTTTAATATAATAAATAATATTTCTATATAAAATAATAAAGTGCATACTAACCGACTGGACTTTTATGAACAAGATTAAAAGGTTCCTTCATAAATGTTTGAAGTTGTGCCAGAACGCCTAAATCGGCTTCCAAAGATTGTAAAGCACTAAATGCTTTACATTTAACTTTTTTATCCGCATTTAATTGATATATAGAAGACAAGCCTTCCAGTTGTGTAGTAAAATCCACAAAATCACCACGGGATAAACAAGAAGCCAATACTTCACAACTCTGCAATTTTTTTTTTATATAAGTTATGACATTTTTTTTTAAATATATAATCATAAAATTATATTATTTTACTTGTTGCTCGCTTTTTCCTTCATGATGAATTTTAACATCTTTGACTACGCCTGTTGTTTCCAACAGAACTTCTAAGAAAAACATATCTGATGATATAAAAAGCTCCGTACCTGGTGGTCCTGACATCATGAATTTTAATCTATAATAAAATATTAATTGTAAAAACCTGCTGAAAAATTATATACAGGATGTTTGAGATTTTTCGGCCAAATGACATATTTATACAACAATGTTTTATTATTTTCATGCATAGAATAAGCTGGCACCATTTGGTTGGAAGAACCTCAGATATCTTGTATATACATATTATACTACAATAAACAAATAAAAAATAAATACCCTAATTGTCTTGATAAACTTTCCAAACGTTCTACCATAGATTGTAATGATGTAACTTTTATGGAATGCTGTAAAGTGTCTAAACATTTTTGTAGTTGATTTTTTTCAACGCTGTCGATAGCAAATCGTTTGTCCTGGAATAATAACAATAATATTAATAAATGACAGTAAGAAATAAGTGTAATAAAATTTTTGGATAACTCACCAACATAGTCATACGTAAATTTTTAGCAGTCTCGATTAAAGATTTAAATCCTGATGCCTTCGACCGCAATTTCTCCATCATCAGCTCCATTTGCCATTCATTTCCCTTATCCACTCCTGTTTCACTGGTACTAGGAAGTGGTTGCCCATCTGTAAGGAATTCATTATATAAAGATATTCATTTTTAACACGTTGCCGTACACTTTTAATTTGACGATCGTGCTCAGAAATACAAAGATCGGACAGCTATAGCCGTCATTTGCGATAACGTGTTAATTATTTCTACAATAACATTTTAATGTAAAGTACGTAGAACCAATAAAATGGAAATATAAATTCTACATACACACACACACACATATATACATATACATATACACATTAATTTCATTTATATTATTGTCTTATACAAGAAGCCATTTTTTAATTCTTCTTGGAATGAAATTGAAATGTGAAATACGTAGAAATAATAAAATAGAAATATAAATTTGATACACACAGACGCACAAAACCACGAAAGGAATGTGTTTGTGCGATAACTATCACGTGAACAACAATCCCCATACCCGAATTTAACTGGCATAAACTCACTTGAGGGCTTTTGCCCGTTGCCCGCATCCATATATTCCAGGAAAAAGTACAGAATTCACAGATATCTACTTTAAATGTAATAACCGATGTGTTATTTGTTGATGTTCGATACCATGATATTAAATTATTTTAAGCAACTGCATTCTTCAAGAATACATCTTTGCGTCTGTACAGTTTAACCATAAATAATAACAGGAATTAAGATACGCCCATAAACATTTAGACTCCACAGAAAAAAACTTTAAAGGAGAGAACACTTCTTTAACAAAATGTCATTATCAGAAGAAGGCGCCATCTTGATTTCTGTCATGGCCAATTTCATTTCTTAACCAATCAGAATATTTCACTTCTCGATCAATCACATCTTCGAAATAAATGGCGCAACATTCAATTCCATTAACGATCTATCTTATCGATTTTGATTAAGAAAATATTTAATAGAATCTGCAAAATAGAATATTGATACTATAAAATAAGAAAATATAAATTATTATTTATATTAGCAACATATTCCTTAATAAATATTTACTTTATATGTTACATTTTTAAAATTATTTTCTAATAATCTTCTAAGTAACATGTCTAATTATGTGATCGTTGATAGAAAAATTTCCATGTGTACTCAATTAGTATAATAGCTAACTGCGCATGACTTCTATTAAGTAAATTTAAATTTCAATTTTCCTATTTCTAAAAAATAATATTATTTTATCATAACGCAAACAATAATGCAATAACAATATTAACAACTATAATAAAAAATAGAGTATGACGTTAATCGTTGAAATAATATTGTAATATGTGATATCTGGATGACCTTGATGACCTCGTAATAGTTGTTCTGATAAAAAAATTATAACAGAAAAATAAAAAATATTAGTATTTTGCAATATAATCTACAATTACTGATATCTTACGAGGTTACATTATTTTCATCTAAAAAACTTGCTGGGGGGTCTAATGTGTATTTAATTTACAATATCATTAAAACTAAGCGACGACGACGACGACCATCATCAGAAGATTGTAACCACGCGGTAAAAAGAGTAATATATAGTGTTCTTAATTTTTAATTAGTATTTGATTTTATAAATATTTATATTATGGCTATAATAAAATTTTATAAACTACCTGGATTAAAATCAGCCCAATTGAATAAAAAATTAAATGATATCAATAAATTATCAAGTATAGTAAGTGATCTTAAAACTGAATTATGCTATTACATTGAAGTTAAAGAAAAATTAAATGAAAAAGAATTAAACTTATTACAATGGCTATTGAATTCGCCCATAGAAACAGATACACTAAAAAATGTTAGCGTATTTGATAAAGATAATAGTTCAACTACCGTTATCGAAATTGGTCCAAGGTAAGTATTCATTTATATTAAAATATAATAGTTTTATTGTAACCAATAAATGCTACCTTGTTACAGATTGAATTTTTCTACTGCATTTTCAAGCAATGTAGTATCCATATGCAAATCGATACAATTGGATAAAGTAACTAGAATAGAAGTATCAATCAGATTTTGTATCGTACACAATGGTACATTGGACCATGATACAGAATCTAAAGTATGTAAATATATTAATTAGTTTCATCAGTTTTAATTTTATGTAATAAAATAAAAAAATAGACATATGACATACTTAATATGATGAATTTTTATTATTGTAGATTGTAGATGTTTTACATGATAAGATGACAGAATGTAGATACATGAAACCTATAGAAAGTTTTGATCATGGATTTAAGCCTGAAAAATGGTTTGAAGTAAATATATTAAAATATGGAAAAAAAGCTTTAGAAGAAGTAAGCAGTCACTTAGGTAAACGTCATTAAATTCAAATATACAATAATGATTTAATAAATTAAAATGAAAAATTATTAAAAAATGATTTATTTCTTCATGATATAGGTTTGGCTTTTGATGATTGGGATTTAGATTATTATACAAATTTGTTTCTGCATAAACTTAAACGAAATCCAACAAGTGTTGAATGTTTTGATTTGGCACAATCAAACAGCGAGCATAGTCGACATTGGTTTTTTAAAGGAAAAATGATTATTGATGGGAAAGAAGAGGAGCGATCTTTGCTCGATATGATCATTGATACACAAAATTATTCAAATCCAAATAATGTTATTAAATTTAGCGATAATAGCAGCGCTATTAAAGGCTACGAAATAAACTTGTTACGACCAATTGATTCGTCTAAATGTAGTCACTTTAATGTAAAGAAAGTTAAACAAGATTTAATATTTACTGCGGAAACACATAATTTTCCAACTGGTGTTGCTCCATTTAGGTAAAATTTAAATTATTTATTTATTGTGTATCTAACTATTAAATTCCTTTTATACTTTTTATGATGAATAAATAAAATTTGCAGTGGTGCTACAACAGGAACAGGAGGACGTATTAGAGATATACAAGCTATTGGTAGAGGAGGCTATTATATTGCAGGAACTGCAGGATACAGTGTTGGAAATCTTCTCATACCAGGTTTCTTATTTATCTAATATATATGAAAAAATTGTTTAAATTATATATAATCGTATCCTAATTATATCTGATATATATTTTTTTCTATAAAGATTATAATTTACCATGGGAAGAAAAAGAATGGCATTATCCCGGTAATATGGCATCGCCGTTACAAATTATAATTGAAGCAAGTAACGGAGCATCTGACTATGGAAATAAATTTGGAGAGCCAATTATATCTGGTTTTGCACGTTCCTTTGGTATGCTAGATCACGAAAATGTTAGAAGAGAATGGATAAAGCCTATAATGTTTACTGGAGGTGTTGGTACAGTAGATGCAAATATGACAAAAAAAGAAATTCCAGAAAAAGGTAAGCAATAAAAATGAAAATATTATATAAGTTATATTAAAATATTTTTTTTTTTTTTTGTAGATATGGAAGTTGTAAAAATTGGAGGACCTGTTTATAGAATTGGTGTTGGCGGTGGTGCAGCAAGTTCTGTTGAAGTATGTTTTCTGCAAATAAATTATTTCGTTAATGTATCTTTTATATTTGATTACACGTTCAATAATTTATAGGTGCAAGGTGATAACAAATCGGATTTAGATTTTGGAGCAGTGCAAAGAGGCGATGCTGAAATGGAACAAAAATTAAATCGATTAATTCGTGCATGTGGAGAATTAGGTACAAATAATCCAATTCTCAGTATTCATGATCAAGGTGCTGGAGGAAATGGTAAATAATATTCAATTAGTATATATATATATATATAATGCATATAATAATATTCAATTATTCATTTTTAGGCAATGTACTGAAGGAATTGGTTGAACCAGCTGGAGCTGTAATATTTACAAAGAAATTTGAACTGGGTGATCCTAGTATCAATACATTAGAATTATGGGGTGCAGAATATCAAGAAAATGATGCTATTCTTTGTAAACCAAAAGACGTCGATTTGCTCAATCGAATAGCAAAACGTGAAAAATGCCCAATAAATTTTGTTGGAAAGGTAACTGGAAATGGAAAAATTATTCTTTCGGAAGATGATAACTTTGATTTATCTAAATATGAACAAAATAATGTAAGGCATCCAGTTGATTTAGAACTTGAATTAGTACTTGGAAAAATGCCGCAGAAGGTGAGAAAACAAAATTTAAATTATTTACTTAATTTAATATATCCATAAATACTACATTAACAGAAATTTTAATAATTAAATGTACTTATTATTTGTAGACATATAATCTTACAAGAAAACAGCTACATTTATCACCGATCTGTTTGCCTAATGACTTAACCGTGAATTTAATTCTCGATAGAGTTTTACGTTTGCCTGCAGTTGCTAGTAAACGTTATTTAGTAAATAAAGTCGATCGTTGCGTCACTGGATTAATTGCACAACAACAATGTGTTGGCCCATTGCATACTCCTTTAGCTGATGTTGCTGTAACCGCTATTTCAATGTATTCGACGGTAAGAAAATGCAATTACTCATTTCTATTTCTAGGAAACATTGATAAAAAAATTTATTTACATATTATTTTAGCATGGAATTGCAACATCAATTGGCGAACAACCGATAAAAGGTCTTGTGAATGCATCTGCAGGAGCGCGTATGACAGTGGCAGAAGCCTTGAGTAATTTAGTATTTGCTGCAATTTCAGATATTAAGGTATATTTAATATATTAATAATATACTTATATTACTAATGTACAATCAAACGTATGATTCTATTTTTAGGATGTTAAATGTAGTGGAAATTGGATGTGGGCCGCAAAATTGCCGGGTGAAGGCGCAGCTATGTATGAAGCGTGTAATGCTTTATGTTCTGTTATGAAAGAATTTGGTATAGCTGCAGATGGTGGTAAAGATTCTCTTAGTATGGCTGCACGTGTAGGAAATAATGTTGTTAAGGCACCAGGAACACTCGTTATTTCTTGTTATGCACCATGTCCTGACATACAAAAAGTGAGTCAATGTCTGTTTTATTATTATATTTGATATGCATGTTTTTTAATGTTTGCATTTTAATAGGTGATAACACCTGATTTAAAAGGACCTTCAACTGGAATGAAAGGACATTTAATTTATGTTGATTTATCCAATGGAAAAAGTCGTATTGGTGGGACAGCTTTAGCACAAGTCTATAAACAACTTGGTAACGATGCACCAGACGTGGATAATGCAAGTTTAATACAAAATGCATTTAATGCTACACAAAAATTGATCAAAGGTAAATATCTTTTGAAGATATATATATATATATATATATATATACATTTTTAATTTTATTTAAATAAATTAATAAATATATTATATGTACATATAATAATAATAATGTGTCACAGAGGAAAAAATATTAGCTGGTCATGATATAAGTGACGGAGGATTGATCACTTGTATATTAGAAATGGCATTTGCTGGAATATCTGGATTGGATATTAATATTTCACATAAATCTGGATCTCCTATCGACATTTTATTTTGTGAAGAAGTTGGATGGATTTTAGAAGTAGAAGAAAATAATTACGAATATTTAATGAATGTATTTAAACAATTCAACGTTCCAGTATATTCGATAGGAAAATCTGTTGGTTTAGGATTTCAATCGAAGGTATAATTTATACATGTTCATTTTCGCAAAATATTTATTATGTATTATTGAATTGAATGATTATTTCTATTTTATAGGTGACTTTTAAAGTAAATGGAAAGATAGTATTAAATACTACTATCCAACCATTAATGTACATGTGGGAAGAAACAAGTTATCAACTAGAACGTAGACAAACTAATATTAAATGCGCTCAAGAAGAATTCAATGGACTGAAAGAAAGAACTATTCCTGATTATAAATTAACGTTTGATCCTGACTGTAAGCCTCATTCGATAGAAAAATTGTTAATCTGTAAGTGTAATTGTTAATTAATATATATGAATTTTTTACAATAACATTATTACGTGTATTCATATAACAATAATATCTTAAATTGTATTACAGCTAGTATAAAAGTTGCTGTGGTTCGTGAAGAAGGTATAAACGGAGATAGAGAAATGGCCGTGTCTTTGGAACAAGCAGGTTTTGAAGTTTGGGATGTAACGATGCAAGATTTGTTAACCAGTAGTGTTACGCTCGATAAATTCAAGGGTATTATTTTCCCTGGTGGATTTAGTTACGCAGGTAAAGTATCATGCTTATTTAATAAAATAATTAATAATAAGAATATTAACAAATATTCTATTTATAAATGAAAATTATTTACAGACGTATTAGGTTCTGCAAAAGGATGGGCAGCATGTTTGAAATTTAATCCTCTGTTACAAAAACAATTAGAAACATTTGTTAATTCCAAAGACACGTTTAGTTTAGGAGTGTGCAATGGTTGTCAATTAATGAGTTTGTTAGGATGGATTGGAAAAGATAATGGTAAATTAGTACACTATATAGAAAAATAGAAAATTTTAGCATGCAGATACTAAAGATTACTTTATGATTATAGGCTATAAAGAAGAACCAAGTATTGTCTTAGATCATAATATATCAGAGAAATTTGAATGTCGATGGAGTAATGTTAAGATAGAAAAATCACCGTCCATCATGCTGCAAGGAATGGAGGGCAGTGTATTTGGTGTATGGGTCGCACATGGTGAAGGAAGATTTACATTCCGCAACAGCGAATTATTGCGAACGCTGAAAGAATTAAATTGTCTTGCTATTAAATATACTGATGATTGTGGTAATACCACTGAAAAATATCCGTTCAATCCTAATGGTAGTATAGGTGGGTTGAGATACATATATATATATATATATATATATATATATATATATAAACTTATTCGTAAAAAATTATAAAATATGGATTGTTTTAATTTCAGAGGGTATAGCTGCAATATGTTCAGCGAATGGTCGACACTTGGCTATGATGCCGCATCCAGAAAGATGCACACAAATGTGGCAATGGCCTTGGAAACCTGTAGAATGGAAATATGAAAGGTCCCCCTGGCAACGTATTTTTGACAATGCGTATGTGTGGTGCTTATCACAAAAAAATTGAATGTATAAAAATGCTAGAGAATGTTACATGAATATGTATGATGTCATCAATGAGTTTAGAATATTTGTAAGAATAAATTCATTATCTATATATCATCATATGTATGTAAGATTTACTTTCTTTTGCAAAAAAAAAAAAAAAAAAACTTTTTTCTAACATTCTCGATAAATTTAAGATTTATGTAAGTTTTGTTACTTTCTATTTTCAGTAATTATCACTATATGGTCAAATGTGTATATAATAAAAAGATTTTGAAAAAGAATCATTCTTCATATGGATTTTGTCTAACTTTGAAAACTTGATTTAAAGGCTCAAAAGATGTATAATGACTTGAGGCATAGATGTCATCCAGTTGTAAATCACATCGTAAAATAACTACACCAGATGGATTAACTTTAACTTTGATCTTTGTATGTGGCAATAAGACGCCATAGTTCACATCTTCATATAAATCCTAAAAATGTTCATATCATAAGTATTTACGTTTGCATATTAAATAAGTGATGAATTTTAATGTTAATAACTTACTTCTACTTTGTATCCTCCAGGGAATTGCAAACCGAGTTCTTTTAATGTGACTGAAACATCCGAAGGTGTACCATCTGTTCTTCTATTTAAAAATGCTATCGCATAAGAATAATACGATTGATGTATCGGCGTTATCGGTCGTGCCCATATTTCAATACCCTTATGCTACAAAAATAAATCAATATTTTATTAACAAATGCAATTTATATATATATATATATATTCAATTGTAGTGTGTAAAATTAAATTACTAACTTTATATATACGACGACCTTGTATACCAAGTGGATCTTGGTCGACAGCAATTATTTTCTTGTTTTGTAAAATAGCTTTGTATTCTGGTCTAATCGTTCGAAGATCAACCGACATTAACAAAGGTGCTGCTAAAATAGCCCACAGAGCCATTTGAGTTTTACTTTGCTCATAACTTAAACCAAAATTACCGATAATTAACATATCAGGATCGTTCCAATGTCCAGGTCCAGCATTTGGTACAATAGAGTCTTGATTGTTTCCATAATAATCGATAATAGTTTCTAAACTGTGCCACGAATCTTGTATGTCATCAAAATTTCTCCACAAGTTGCAGTGTTCTATTATCGCTGTGAAGTTTGGCTAAAAATTGAATTAATTAATAGTTTCATTATATATATATATATATATATATATATATATATATATGTCTATTACGAATTAAAATTAACTATATGAATACAAGCAATTAAATGAATGAAAGTGTAGTAAGATTCTCCTAATAACTTGTACTTTTACTGTCAACCGAGAGGAAAAGTCTATGGGACTATTATTATGCTCGTTATTATTCTCGAGTAATTTAATTCTTTTCGTGTAACTGAATAATACGTGTGTGTCTCTCAGTGTACATCTCTTGTTTCCTAACATAAGTATAGTACTCTCTTTTTCTTTCTCTGTATAGAGTTACCTATAATATGTATGATAGTCTATCTCCCCACTCCATCACTCTCACTCGCTGCCGATCTCGTGTTTATCAATCCATAGCTTCTCTTCGCGTAGTAGTCAAGATTACGGTGATCACAGCTAGAGAGAGAGGGTTAGAGTGGGGCGTACCCGTAACAGAGGACTAACGACATGGTATGCCATTGTGTAGACAGAGCTAGTTTTATGCTTGTTAAGAAGAAAAAAAGAAAAGGAAAATCAAAATGAAAAAGCAGAAAAATGTACAACATTGTTATTGAGATGAGAGAAACTTTAAAGGGAAAATATTTGAGAAATTGATAAGCTTGGAAAAATGATTAAATAATATTTTATAAAAAGAAAAAAAAAGAAAAATCATGAATATTATTATATAAAGTTTATAATACTGACCTTCATACCAGCATATATTTGATAAACAGGCCAACTGCACGAGTATATCATAGATCTACCTGTTTGATTCAGAAAATATCCAAATTCGGGATATCCTGAAATATTAAATGATATAATCATTTTATGTTTATTTTAATATGATTGAAATTGTATATATTAATTATTTCATTAAATTGGAGTAAAATAAAGAAGATTTTATTTTATTGGAATAAACATTCATTATTAATGCTTTAATGTTAACATACCTCTGTCCATATCTGATGGATGTGCATAACACCCATCCAATTTTACATAATCTACATCCCAAGATGCAAAGGTCAGTGCATCAGTATCTAGATGTCCGATAACTCCAGGATAACCAGCACACGTGTAATTGCCAAAATCTTCATAAATTCCAAATTTAAGTCCCTTCGAATGAATCTGAACAAATACATATACCATAAATAATAATAACAATATTAAATGATATAATATTTAATATAACAAAGCTATAAAAATTACTTTATATAGTTGTAAAGATTTAGTAGAGTCTGATCTTAAAATTCTTTAAAATAACATAGAAAAGATTATGTTAACTTACATAATCGGCTAAATTTTTCATTCCATATGGGAAACGTTTTCTATCTGGGACCAACTGGCCATCATAACTTCGGTCTTTCTCTAACCAACAATCATCTATATTAATATATTCATATCCTACTGCTGCATATCCATCTGCTACAACTATATCAGCCATTGTTCGAAATAGTTGGTCGCTGTGATATAAAACAATAAATAACATTAATAAAAAATAAGCAAACTTTACAACATAATAAAACCAGAAATACATAAACAATTAATTGTAATATCAAATATTATTTGTCGCAAATAAACCTTGAATTCATTTACTTATTATAATAAAAATTTGTTTATATAATACAAGAATAACAAAAAATATGAATCAAATAATAAAGGGTATAAATATAACATTTACCAAGTATATCTATCTGATTAACATTATTAATCACAGAAATAGAATCAAATAAATTAAAATGAATAAAGAATAATAACAAAATTTCCAAATTAAGCATGTCGATGTAACTGCGTTGGACATAAAAAGAAGAAAGTAAAAGTATACATTACCTTATACAATTGTCAGGATCATTTTTGCAGTCGGTGTTACATCTGAACCTTTCCCATGCCAACCATCCCATGGGTGGCGTCCTAGCTAATCCATTTTCCAAAGCTATTACCACATTACTTGCCGACACAAGAAAGCACCATATCCACACGTTTAGCACCATTTCTGCAAATACTATGCACGTCTTAATACTTTATTTTTTGTATATATTATTTTTTTCTTTCTCTTTCTCTCTCTCTCTCTTTCTCTCTTTTGATCCAATTTAATGAACAAACTTTAATGAAATATATTACAAAGTGATTTTGGTTGCATAATTTTGGAAAAAAAGAGAAATTATAAAAGATGTATGTTTGTTGTTATCTTTTTTTTGTTTTCTTTAAAGAGACACAGGGTTAAAAATGCACTGGGATCTCGTCATCAGGACGAAGACAAGATCTCCATAGGCATCTTATGCTGCTCCTGGCACACTGATCTGATATAAGACTTCCAAGCCAAGAGCACTTTCACCCAATGCCCCATTTCATTTTTATACACAACCACCTTCGTTTAAACTCGTGTACATTGGTCTCCTCGCACAAACATACGACACACATAAACACACAACTATCACTTTTAATAGTGGTGAGATTCATCGCCGGTATATTGCACATTCTGTTTTTTCTTTTTTCTCTCTCTCTCTTTCCTCCTTTCGATAGTCATGTACGAAAGGTACAAGATACCCGTAAAATGCTCGTTTTTTTTGTTTACCTTCACAAATTTTTTCTTTTTCATGTTTAATTGACCATCGTATTCTCTCTCTCTCTCACACACACACTCACTCTTTTTCGAATTTATTTTTTATAGGTTATACAACATACTCCCGTCAAATGGCAAGAATTCTGTATGTATGTGTGTGAGTATATCAAGTGTGTGTAAATGAGTGTAAGTAGAGAACAATTGTATATAATTATTATTTTAAATTAATTAATTTAAATATATAAACGAAATGATTATCAAACGTGATCGAAAACGCGAGTATATTTATATATGTGGAACAAAGAGAAAGTGATAATTGAAGTGTAAAGCGATTTTACAAAAAAAAAAAAAAACTTAAAAGGAAATTACAAAAAAGAACAAACTTACTAATTTTTAGATCGATTGTACAATGAATTTTATCGAAATAATAAAAAAAAAAGATACTTTATCTTGTTATCTTAATTTCTAACAGAATATTTGCTTCTGTATTAAAATAAAAGAGAGAGAGAGAGAGAGAAAAAGAAAAAAAAAGAAAAACATATGAATATATCTACATAAAATCTTCGTATCTTCTAAAGCTTTCCAATCACTTAGGCGTGTTCTTTGATTATGATTTCATGTATCTTATCCTATATTCTTCTAATCGAGATAATTTTATCTATGTGAATATATACAATATATATGTACATTGTTTACATGTATATGTGCATACAGGTTATTTCAAAAGTTACTTTATTGTCCGAGAAATTATAAATTAATTGAATCAATTGATAAATTAATTTAATTTTCTAATCTCTTGATTAAAAATCTTTTAGGACAACCTATATATATAGTAAATAATAAAATATTGTAATAATATTAAACTAAAAAATATTTTTTATGATTCAATATTTTTTTTTCATAGTAAAATAACTTTTGGGGTAACCTATATATATCTTTCTCGCCCTTCTCGTTTTCTTGGTATGTAATATAAATGAGTAGGTGGTTTTAAACGTGTGAGAAAGAAAGAGATAGTAAAGAATTTAATAAACGCAATGACGACGGAATATGAATGGCATTGGATATTACTAAAGACGATAAATATGTACTACTACTATACGTATTCGTAATGTATTATTCACGTGATTTAAACACAAACCGTGAGAAAGTTCGAAAGAAAATCTATGAGCCCGGAAATCAAAAGTATTATAACTAAACAAGAAATATATATATATATATGTATCTATATACAACAGATCTTTATGTCTCTTACGAAATCAGAATGGCAATCGAAAAGCGAAGGTATCTATCGGACAAAGGAAATGTCACACTAAATACGATAATGATTTATTCGATGTTACTAAATACTCGCCATATTTAACAATTCAATACATTAAACAATTCACTAATTTTTATTTTTTTTCATTTTAATATATTATTTTAATTTAATATATATATATTACGAGAAAAATTAAATAAAAATGATTATCTAATTTTTAAGTTATTGTAGTTATTTATTATCCTAGAATAATTTGATGTTTAAAAAAAATAATACGAACTTTGAAAATTCACCAAAAATGCGCGATATATTCGATTATTTAAATTGCCCAAAAAATCAAAAATTTCTAAATTATTTTTTTCAAAAAAACAATTACTCTAATAAAATTTAACATTCTTCTTAGAAAAACAACATAAAATAAATAAACATCTTAACTAATTTGTATATAATTGTAGTTAATGTTAAGTAAAAAAGAATTTTGATTTAAAAACAAGAAACTAATACGAACCCTCGAAAAATCCGCCAATCAACGTTTTTGATACTTTTTTTTTTTTCGAAAAAACGCGCGAATTTGAAATAATACCGAGTAACAATGTTTCTTTACAGCTTAATCTTTGGAAAGATCGCACAAACTATACTTAAGTTACATTCACGCGAGTAAAAAGAAAAAAAGAAAATAAAGGCATACCTTATAACACGAAGTAAAACAGCCTATTGCAATACCATTGATATATACACTCGTTTAGGTAATTTATATGTCATTTATCTTAAACAACGATCGACATTATGATCGACGAAAAAGAATAAAACAAAAAATATTTTTTATCAATAAATTAATTCTAATCGAATGATCCACATAAATCACTGCAATCGTTAATAATTATAATCATGCATCTAATCTTAAAATATTATATTTGTATAAAAATGAAACTTTATACTTTTTAAAAAATATGTTACATAATATTTATATTATATGATAATAAATAATTAAATAAATTTAATAAAAGAGTATGTAAAAATTGTATTGAATCTTAAGTACCGGTGTATACACGTATCTAACGATTTTAAAATAATTCAAATGGAATTACAAATGCAACTACCAGCAAACTTGTCAAACAGTGTAACATTTATGGTCTTTTGTGCATTCGTGTGTATGTATGTGGTTAGTATTTGTACAACTGTAAATTCTGTCATTATTATTGAATATAAACATTAATAATATTCGTAATGTTTTTATGAAACGTTTAGGAGTAAAAGTAATAACTACTTGAATATTACTTCCTAGATGTGTATAACACATTATCAATAAGGCTCTCTTAAAACCACTCCATTACTTTTATTTATATATCTATTTTTAGGTATGTTTCACTATAATAGCATTTAAACTTTTTCTATTACTATTTTATAATCCTTTTTTATATATTAGCTTTTTTAAATAGACAAACTTATTTCATTAAATTAAAAAATATATAAACCTTGTTTGCGATGATAGGTATTTAAATAAAGACCTTGAATTTATTTTCTTTTTCTTTTTTACGGTTCTTTTATCCTACTACTTCTTTAACCGCGTAAAGTATTTTAAGAAAATTGTTTGCATGCTTATTTGTTAATTTTTTTCCTCTTCACAATTATTTTTGTTTCTTTTTTTAGAAGTTAAAAAAATAAATGTATATCAAGGTTAATGAACATTATACTGTTTGGGTGCATATAGAACAAGGATAACATAATAAAAGGATAGCATAATATTATGTGTATTATTGCGATCACTTTAGTTAACCTCGTTCTTTGTGAACTCATTGTTTTACTGCCCTCGTTTTTTAATCTTTTTTATTTTTTACTATTATTATTATTATTAATATTATTATTATTATTATTATTATTGTCATCGTGGTATTACGTAAATATTCGACGTATGTAAAACGAATGAAATTTTTTGTATATTTTCCTGCACATGTATGTGAATGTATGTCAAAAATAAAATTAATTACAATCAATTATCTTGATTAAGACGGATATCATTTTTGTCAGTTGGCTTTTAATTAATCTATTTTTCTTGTTATCGATAGTAGTATATATATATTATTTGTATTTAATATCAATTGCATTTATCGTGTGATCATTTTAGATCATTTCAATATTTGTTTACTCCTCATTCTCCAAAAAGAAGAAATAAAAATAAAAATAAAAACAATGATGTTTATTTGTTATTTAAGATTGTAAAAGAAATATTTTTCCTTAAATAATATTTAAAATGTTTTTAATCAAACAAAATTTCTAATGCGTCTTACCTTATTCAATAATATAGATATTATAAGTTCATCGGTGATATACTACTTATTAATCTCTTCGAGCTCAGTTCGTTTTATATATAAGCTCGTTTAAAGTACTTCTCTTGTATGTTTAAAGTCAATTATTGGATAATCCTTTATAGTATCAATTGATAACACAAGTTCGTCAACCCATCCTATTATCTAAAAATATTGATAAAGATTGATTCGATAAAAATTTTATTTAATATAGATAAACGCTTTTTATATTAAGAGAGTGTTTGGTATTCATTAAGTGTATAGCGCATTTAATATATCGTCGATTAAAAGATAAAGAGAGAAAAACAAAAGAAAAAAGGTGATGCATTATTAAAAAATATCGAGGATATATATATTTCGTATGAAATTTCTTAATACTACAGAACATAATTCGTTATTAAATCTAAGTATTCATTCAAGCAACGCTATGCGAAACATTTTTTTTTGTTAAATCAATTTTATCAATTATTGTAATTTAACAAAATTTATTCACGCATCTCGTTACTTGCATTTATTATCGTATGGACGGAAATGAAGTTAGCTGTCTTTTTTCTTTTTTATATGTAGTGTTAAAAAATAATAATATTAAATTAAAAAAAAAAATTAATAATATATATATCATTTTAATCAATGATATTAGGCGCAAATGCATCTTCAACTTTTTATAATATATATATATATAATAGTAATAAATTTTTAAATTATATATTAATTAAATTTCTTACTTCACTGAATCAAAATTCGAATTTATACGGAATGCATATTTACTGATGATATATAAACGTATCTAGTATATATTTTTTTTTTAGTATATATATCTTTGTTATAGAAACTGTTTTAAATTTAGCCCAATATTGCTAATTAAAAAATAATATATAAAAATTATATATATATACTTTATTATATACTTTCTATTCTGTATGTTTCTTTTTTTTAATTTTTTAAATATTTCTAACAATAAAGTTATAAAAAAAAATGATGACTACTATTATCGCAATAGTTATCTTGTTAATAAACTACTATTTACACGTGTATTTTTCTTTTCTGCTCTCTAATGATACAAGAACACTTCGGTTAATTAAGTTAGATATATATAAAATCTTATAACAATTAAGATAAGATATATAAATAGCATTACAGAGTTTTTTCTTTTATTCCAAGTTTAACGTGAATCTCTCAGTATTAATAAGGCAATAAGAATTATTTATGCATAAAGGCACCTTAAAAATCGTTTTTTATAAACAGGAATTGTATCACTTTTAACGTTTAGTTAAAATATATGTATATGTATATAGCTATAATATAAAAGATTAAAGATAAAATAATAATCTGTTATCAATCACTACAAAAATTGTAAATATCTGTAATGCTGTCTATATAACTTCTCTATCTCGAGATATAATGTTTGATTAATACCGATATAAAAATGTCATTCTTATTTTGATAAATTTCTTTGTTTTCTCTTAAGATTTTCTTTTCCGATAAATGTTATAATCATATTTTGTTTTCATGTTCCTAAATAAACACATTGATTGCCATACAAGTTTTACATGTTTTGGCAGCGGTCATAGATGAATAACGTGACAATTAATGTGTTTTAAGTTCAAAAATTGCCTTTTGACCAATACTGTATTTTGTTGTTTATCATTACTCTTTTTTTATAGTCTAAATATAAAAAATTCATATATATATAAATATCTATATATAAATTTATAAATGTATAAATAATCTTTCAGATCTTTCTAACAAACTTTATAGTCATATGTATTAAGGAATGATTTAAGATGAATCTAAAATTGCAATAATTTGCATTCGAATAAAGCGAATAATTAATCTTAGAAAAATTCAATTACGATTTAAGCGTAATTGAAGGCTCTTAGTAGTATTACTAAAAATATGCCAAAACTAGCATTTGGAATATTATTTACTGCGCTACTTCGAAAAGCAGCGGCATCACCCATTTGAAATGTATGCGCAGGACTAGACATATGTCCATCACCACCATTACTAAATGCGAGAACTCTCAAATGGTAGGCTTTGCCAGGGCTCAGATTAGTAATATCAGCTTCGAGTTTAGAACCACCAGGGATAATGGTATCATTTGCAGTACTCATGTCTTGATCAACCTCCCATACACGTATTTTATATCCTATTAATGGTTCCTCTTCCAAGCTTGGTTGTACATAACGCCATACAACCCTAACCGTTGATGGATTAACGCCAAAAACGTGAACAGAAGAGGGAGGTTTCTGCGGTGCTTTACGATAAGTTCTTTCTAAATAGCGTTCACTTTCTGGACCTTCCCCGGCTGAATTATAGGCNATGAACCTGTAAGATTAAAATTAGGAATATATTGATGTCAGCATGACTATTTAATTTATAATTTAACTATTTTATTTCTTACGTAATACAATAAGTCGTCCTCGAGTTTCATCACTTCCATATTCATTTGTAGCGGTACAAACGTAAGTTCCTTCGTCGTCTCGTGAAACTGGTTTGATCACTAGACTTCCTTTATTAAGAATTTTTCGCCTACCACCGGCACCAATCACATTACCATCTTTCTTCCATACAAACTTTGGTCTTGGCGCAGCTTCGGGATCACAAATTATGGTAATGTTACCTCCTTCTGCTGCATATGTTTCTGGCTCCATAGGACGTTTTTTAAAAGATGGTTTTAATGCTGCAACATTATTGATTAAATAAAAATTATTTTATTTTAAAAATAGTTTTTCAAATTTCTATTAGAAAGATAACGTACATAAAACTCTTAGTTGAGCTGATGAATATTTAGTTTTTAGTTGATTTTTAGCRCGACATTGATACATAGCCTGATCTGTATCCGGATCTAATCGCGATATTCTTAAAACATTGTCCTGAATAAGGTAACGATCTCTATCTTCTGGTGGAATGGTATTGTTATCTAATAACTCTCCATTTCTAAACCAATTGTATGTTACATCCGGAATACCAAAAGCTTCGCAAGTCCAAATTAACTCTCCATTATTGTCCATATGTTTGTCCAATAATGGTATAGTAAAATTAGGAGCAGCTTGGATAGATAATCTTACAGAATTTTCAATAGAGTGTCTATCGTTATTTGCCCTACAAACATATTCTCCTTGATCTTCTACACGTACGTATGGTATAATCAATACACGATTGTAACTTATTGTGTATGCGTTTCTTGGTAAGGAATCACCGCTTCTTGTCCAACTATATGATGGAATTGGACTGAAAAATAATTTTATTTTATAAATATTTGATAATCTAAAAAATAGATTGTTTCATAATAACAATCAACTATGTTGATTGTTATGTATTGTTAATGTGACATAATAACAATAAACTATACTTACTATCCAAACGCTATACACTCCAACCTGACTTCTTCACCAGCTACTGGTGCTTCAGGGAACGCCTTTGGAAAGTTTTTTGGAAATTTTAATTGTTGATATGATGCTACAAATAAAAAAACAAAATTCTTTTAATATTAACAAAATTAATTTTCTTATGAGGACTTATTAAATTTAATATATGACTGAAAAATAATTACAATGATGATCAACCCTTAACGGAAAGAATGGTCCATTACGTCCTGTATTTGATGCTTCACTTTGAACGTTACAGGAATAATGGCCTCTGTCGATTGTTTCCAACGCGGAAAAGTAAAGAGTGCCATCGTAGGATACAAATACACGTTTATCTTCTTCCACGAAATTTGGAAAATATTCACGTACCCAATAATATTTAACACCGGGAAAATGTTGTGGCGGATCGCAATAAATTGCTTTGCCCCAATTTTGGTCACCTCGTTCTTCTGAACGTTTTAAATTAAATTCCAAAATATATCCAAAAGAAAGTTCTACACTTTCCGACATAATAGTTCCAAACGTATTGGTTGCTTTGCAATGATAAGTACCTCGATCTTCTGTCTGTATTAATAGTTAATTTATTACATTAATATATTTTTTTTTAAATGTCTTGTATTAACAAAGATGAATTTATGTAAAAGATAAAAAGAAAATATCTCACTTGTTCTGGGTCAAAAATAATAAGCGTACCACCGCTTATGGTATATCTAGTGTTCAATAAAGGATCGATCCTCGATGCTATTAATCTATCATTTTCATATTCCTCTTTGAACCACTCATAAGTTGGTGTAGGGTAACCACCAGCGAGACAACTCAAAGAAACTTGGTTGGTCGTTTCTCTATTTGACAAGTCGAATACTGTACTGACGGGCTGCTTGATAAAATATGGTCCTCTGGGAACTTTTAAAGGATCAACAATATGTACACCGTATTCATAAGTACGATCATCTTCGACTAAATTATATAAATTAGAAATAGGTGCTTCGCAAATGTACAATAATTTGTCTATTCCTGTAACTTTTTCGAATCCCCAACGTTGCAAATTATTGTGATAAGAGTACGTCAAGTAATCTTTTCCAAAAATATTATCAGCTGGTTCAGGTAAGAATGCATTGTCCATGTTAGTTAACTGTGTATTGTCTGCTTCATTAATCCAAGCTCCGCCTTGATATTTAATACCAGTATACCACTGACGATGCTGCGGATCTTGCCATAGTAATTGATGTAGTATAAATCCATGCTCTTCCAACGAATTAATCGTTAGTAAATCACTTTGATAAGCTTGACAATTCCTTCTTGCATCTTCTCGTGCTTTTATGGGACTTTTTATGAAACGATAACAAGATTCTTGAAATCTAACCCAATTCTGAGGACACTTATGATTTTCTTCATTATAAAATGCATTTTGTGTTAATACGATATTCGTAGTTCCAAGTGTGCAAAAAAGAAGCAATAACCAATTAATATGCATTCTCATTTTATAGCCTACAAATAAACGAAATATTTGAAATTTAAATTTATGGAAATAAATTATTTGTAAGAATCTGCACAAATGTAAAGGATTATTTTAGAATATTAAAAGAAATAAATAGAATTTAGAATATTCGTAATATTGGAACTATAGTCGTCCGGGATAAAATTTTTGGACTGGTCATCATCTTTAGGTATTTAGCATCGATCATAATTCAGACAAATTAAATAAACGAGGAACTTAAGAAAAGAATTAATTTAAGTAATGCATGCTTTTGTTCGGTCAGTAAATTACTTAGCTCGCGAGTTCTGTCTTGGCGAATAAAAATTAGAATATACAGGATGATCATGCTACCGGTAGTCCTTTATGGTAGCAACCCTTATGGTGGTCTCTTACATTACGGGACGGAAGGAAATGTATGGTTTTCAAAAATAAAGTTTTTCGTAATATTTTTGGTGCAAAACGCCAATAGAAAACAGCCGAATGGAGGAAAATTCATAACGTAGAAGTACATTGACTGTACAACTAACTGGACATCATTAACGTTGTAAAATCACGTCGATTAACCCATTACTTGCCAATGGCCTTTTTTTGGGACGCATTTTCAAATATTTTTGAAGCGAAAACTTGTTTAGAAGTTTTGTGTATTGTAGTCTTTACATAAGATTCGACCATCTGAAAAATTTAAGGGGTACCGCTTGTGTGAACGCTTAAAAAAAGGTAATTTTTCGGAATTCTAAAAAATAGAAAACTACTATATAATAGAGAATACTACCTAAATAAACTACTATGAAATAGAAGAACTACTGCATGGAATATTTTAATT